GGGGGGGGGGCGGGGGGAAGAAAAAAAATCGAACCCGGCTGAAAGTCCTTCTCCTTTGCTCCCTGTTTTCTCCCGTGCAGCCAGACATTGTTCTCCGGGAACGTGGCTTGGCTGCGCTCCCCTCCCAGCACCAGCACGGCTCTCCAGCGGGCCAGAGCCACCACGGTGCCGCGCTGGTGGGCTTTGCCATCACTCCTTTGCATTTCCTTTTCCATCGAGTCGGCTTTGTCGGTTCTTTTTCCCCCGCCTCTGACACGGCGTCACCTCCTGCGCTCCTCGGCGAGGGCTCCGCGGGGCCGCAGCCGGCGCCAGCCCCGGGGGCTGCAAGGACAAGGACCCCCCACACTGTCCTGGGCTGCTGGTGGCACCAGGGAACGGGGACAGAGCTGGCGTAAAGGAAACCAAAGGGAGGACACGGGACAGCGAAAGGACCACTACTTCAGTTTCCTAAAGCCTTCGAAGAAGCTGCTTCGGAAGAGGGGAGCGGCTTCACCGGATGGGAGCGGAGCGAGCCCCCGGCTGGGAGCGCAGCTCTGCGGGGAGCGGCAGGGAGATCGTGGGGGGCGAGCAGTGGCGATCCTGCCGGAGCCAGGCGGAGCAAGGAAAAATCAGGAAGGAGAAGGAAGGGAGAAGAGGGTTTCCTCGGCTGCGGGGCGGCCCAGGGCAGCGGGGCGCGGGGGGCTATTTGTAAGGCCGGAGGAAGCTGGAGACTTTGGAGCGCAGGAGTTTGATGAAGGAGCGGGGCAGCATCTCCTTGTGCTTCTCTGTGTACTTGAAGTAGTTCTGGGGGTGTGCCAGCACGTCGAAGAAAGCTTTGATGAGCTTCTTGTCCTGCAGGGAAGCCGAGCCAGAGGGAGGTTCAGCATCCTCCCCGTGCTCCCCTGAAGCCCCAAGTGCAAGGAGAGCAGCAGGCATCCCCGAAAGGAAGGATGCTCCTGCATCCCCCACAGCCCTGGGTAACACAGACTTGGGGGCTCACCTTGAGGATCTCCTGGTGGTTCTCGGAGGCGTAGAGCCTTCCATCCCGCACGATGTCCTCCACCAGCTGCTCGTAGTCCTCTGCCAAAAAACACAGGGCATGAGCTGCCCCTTGTCCCCAAACCTCTGGCCTCCATCCTTCGGTCCACTCCCCCCAAACACACAGGAGGTGTGAACTGGATCCCAAACGGCGGGGAGGAGAAGAACCAGCGTGCTGGGATGGCATTTCCATCCCCGTGCTCACCGTCGTAGGTGACATAGGGGATCTGGAAGCCCCGAGCACTGTTGGCCTCACTGGTTTTGAAGTTGATCCAGAGCTTGCGGGAGCGGGCGGTGAAGGCGATGGGTCTCTCATAGGTCTGGCAGGTCTCGTAGGTGGTGATGGAGGATGGGGAGGCTGCAGGGAACAGCAAAGGGACACAGGATGCTGCTTGCCCATCAGCAGAGCTACTCCCACCCTTTACTGGGTCAAGGGTGGCATCAGGGATGGGAATTGTCCATGCTGGGCAAGGCTGAGTGCCCCCTAACCCTCATGTTACCAGGAATTGCTATTCCTTCCTTGCTCTGGAAAGCACCAAATGGGGCATTTAACCCCCAAAATCAAGGCTGAGGCCCAGGTGTGCAGCCCAGCACAGAGATCCAACAAGACACCGGGATGGCAGGGTGCTGCTCATCTCCCCACTCACCCTATTCCCAAAACTCCCCTCCTGCTGCCTGGGCATGCACCTTTCTCCCTCTCTGCCAAAGCCCAGCCTTTTCCTCCCCAGCTCCTCCCCTGAGCACCGCGGCCAGCTCGGTTACCTACAGTTTTTCCGCATGACCAGGACGTCGCCGCACTCATCCTCGGAGGGGAGGAAGATCTCCGGCACCACGATGAGGATCTTGCGCTTGGGCGGGGGGTTGATGTTCCAGGTGCACTCGATGTTGGCGGGGTAATTGCCAGGGTAGTTGGGGGACTCGATGTAGCCCGTGTACTCACCCAGCTCCCCTCCACACTGCCGGTCTGCAAGGCAGGGAGACCAGCTCAGCTGGGAGCCAGGGCAGGGGACACTGAGGGGGGGAGTGTTCCACTGGGCAAGAGGGACAGTGTCCCACTAGGCACCCCCGTGCCTGCCTGCATGCACAAAGCACTGAAATGACCCCAAACTCTGCAGGACTTTTAAATACTTTTGAACGAGGACCCCACACCTGTCCCCCCCTTCTGTTGCACCCCAGCTCGCCTACTTTTGCACTGGGACACCGAGGTGGAGCCGTCGAAGTCGGTGGTGGTGTTGCCAGGGCAGGAGATGCAGTAATTCTGCCGGAAATCGGGCTGGTAGGTGCCCACGGCGCAGCGGATGCAGCGGTGCACGCTCGTGTTGTAGTAGTGCCCAGGGGAGCACTGAACTGGGGGGTCAGGGAGCACAGGGGGCTGTGTCAGCTGCTGGCACAGCCCTGCTGGGTGGCCCCGTCCTGGGGGCCAGCTGTGACCTACCTTTGGTGTCGCAGTCCTGGAAGGAGAGGGCTCCCTCGTGGCGGGTGGTCAGCCCCCCGCCGCAGGGGAAGCAGAGCGCCCGTCCCACCTCGGGCTGGTAGGACCCACGGGGACACGGCTGGCAGGGCTTGAAGCCATCAGCAGAGTGCTGCCCAGGGGGACACTGACCTGCAGGCACAGACATTGTTCGGTCCTGGCACCCCACATGCCTGGTGCTCTCCTGCCCCATACCCAGATCCTCCTCCCCCTCAGCCTCGGCAGCACCAGTACACCCAGAGCAAGTGCTGCCCTTCCGGGGGTCCCCTCTAAATAATAAACACCCAAACCAGCAACTCCTGTGAGCCCTGGGGATGACCAAAACTTTCCTGTCTGCTGCCTAGTGGTTGAAATTGCAGCCCTGCACATCCCGAGTGTGCCTCGAGCTGCCCTCCTTACCGGTGCAGCCGGTGATGTTGGTGGCTCCTATGGGTCCGAAGGTGTCTCCGCGGGGACACAGCCCCGAGTGTGCCTCGAGCTCCCCCCGTGCCCTCCTTACCGGTGCAGCCGGTGATGTTGGTGGCTCCTATGGGTCCGAAGGTGTCTCCGCGGGGACACAGGTCACAGGAGAGCTGCCCCTCCTTCTCCTGGTAGGTGCCGGGGGGGCAGGGCACGCACTGCTCCGTCTGCCCGTGGTAATAGGTTCCCTGCGAGCAGCTGACTGAGAGCCGGGGGGGACGTCGGTGATGCTGTGGGGGCTGTCACCGCCGGGTCCCCTCGTCACCCCGCCACGCTCCTTACCACACTTGCTGGCCAGGCGCTGCTGGCCCGGCCCACAGCTCTCCTGGCGCTCCGGGGCCACGCTCAGCTTCCGGGCCACCTCGTACTCCATCCCTGAGAAGCGCAGCAGGAACCGCTCCTGGTTGATGGATTTCTTCAGGGCTTTGATGGCCGACTTCAGCTTTTTCTCCACTCTCTGTCGCAGGCAGTGCAGGTTGCAGCTGGCTGGGTGGTGCAGAGGTGGAACAGGAGGAAACAGGGATGCAGTAAGAAGGGAGGGGTGGAGAGGGAAGCTCAGAAGCATTAAAACCATCCCCAAAATGCTCAGCTGCAAGTGCTACCCAGCATGTGCCAATCCAGTGCAAGACGAGGACTGGTTTATCTCTCCTTGCTGCATGGGGATGCCATCGTGCCCCTGATCCCACCACCTTGCCTGCACCCAAGATGGGTCAGGCCAGTGCTGTGCCCACCTGTGATCTCCTCGGGCTTGATCTCGGCCTCGAACTCCAGCGTGATGCGTGTCACCTCTTTGCTGGGGGAGTTGCGAGCCCGGCGCCCCTTCCCCTTCTTGGACGAGTCGCACTTGAGGTTGACGAAGGTGACCTGGCAGTCAGAGCACGGTGCCGAGCCACCTGCACGGGGGGGGATGGGTCAGCACCCCATCCCTGCTGGGGCACAGGCACCCCCACCTCCCCTCCACCACACCTCACCTTGCGCCCCAGCCTTCCCGGCCTCCTCCTGCTTGCCCTTGGTCCGGGGGTGCAGGTGGCACTTGGCATCCTTGATCTTGAAGGAGGCTTTCTGCTTGACGGGCGCAGCCACAGTCTCTGAAAGAACAGGTGGGTGCTCAGCAACCTGGCATGGCCCAGCTAGGCTGGTGGGCACCCCAGGAGCCCCCTTACCGAGGCACTGCTGGCTGCTGTTGGTGGGTCTGTGCTGGCTGCCCTGCCGCAGGACGGGGGTCCCACAGCTCACCGTGTAGCTGCTGTCAGACTCTGTGAGGGAGTAAGGGGAGTTGGCTCTGCCAGGGTGATGCAGGCAAGCTGTGCTGTGGGGGGATGGTGCCCAGCACCCTGCCATAGAGATCCTGCACCAGGGACCTGGCCTGTGGATCTACACCCAACAGTGAGCCCTCCTAAGCAACAGCATCCCTCCCTCCTGCACTCTGGCTGTGTAGCCACTCCTCCCCTCTCAGTTTAGCCATGCAAGGAAATGGGAACCCCCCTGCTCATGCTGGTGGTGGCACCAGTGCCAGTACCTGGCAGGAATCGGGCCTTGGAGGTGCAGGAAAGGGCACAGCTGTCCTTCTTGCCCATCTTGTTGCAGGTGAGGGTGGCCCGTGGTGGCACCGAACCTGGCAGGCACTTCACCAGCTCCAAGGGACAAGCACCAGCTGGTGATGACAATCAGGGATGCCCATGGCTGGCACAGCTCAGAGACCCCAGAAACCCCCACCCTCCAGCTCATGGGGGATTCACCAGGCAGGAGAAGGTGCCAGAGCGTAGCACAGAGACCCCAGCCTGGCATCCCAAAGCCCCCAGCTCCTCCAGCAGCCCTGCTGGCTCCTGGCCTGACGTACCCACACAGTCCTTCTTGTTCCAGTGCAGCTTGCAGCCAGCAGGACAGGTGCACTGGTAGCTGCCAGGAGTGTTGATGCAGCCGAATTTGCAGCCACCCCGGTTGATGCTGCACTCATCGATGTCTGTGGGGACAGAGGAAGGGGCAGTGGGTGAGGGGCAGTGGGTGAGGGGCAGTGGGACCCCTCAGCTCTGACACTGAATCACTGCATTGTCTCAGAGCTGGGATTCTGGATGGATAAATCCAAGCCCAGCTGGGAGAGGGGGTCTGCACCTCAGGGCATTTCCAGCGGTGCCACCTCCCCACAGCTGTGCCAGCTCCATGGGGATAAGGGACAGCTCGACTCCCGGTGTCCCCAGGGGCTAGGCAGGGAGGGGTGCAGCCCATCCAGGCTGGGCCCACCCCCAGCCCCTGGTAGGCTGGGGGCACAGCAGATGGAGCCGACATGGAAGCACTTAGAAAAGTGCTCAGTCAGCCCTGGTTGCTCTCTTCAGCGGGGACCCCCCGGCCTGAGATGATCCTCCAGGTCAGGGATGGAGCTGCCCCTGCCAGCGCCCTCCCTGCCCAGCTCCCCCTCACACGGTGGGAGCCATCAATCCCTTTGCTGCTGGGCCACCTCAGACATCCCCAGGGGCTGTTCTGGCTCACGCTGACCGCGTAGTTCGGAAACATGAGGAGGGTCGCTGACCCCCGCCCGCCGGGCAGCACTGGAGCAGCCGGGCTCGTCACCCCGGGCCGCCGGCACCGCTGCCACAACACGCTCCGGCAGCCCCTGCAAAGCACGTTCCATCCACCTCCCGCTTCCCGGGCGCAGCACGCCCCCGCCCTTGGGAGCTATCTGCCTTGTGAAATTTAAATCAAACCCTTTTGATGTTCCCCTTCCCACCCCGTCACAGCTCCCTGCCAAAAACGCCGGGGATTTCTCCCTCTCTCCCGCTGCAGACAAGTCGCAAATTGTTCCTGTCGCTCTGTTTGAAGTTGCAGACACCAGCGAGTCTGGCTGTGAGCCCCGTCCCTGCCCGGCCTCAGCCCGGGGTGTGCGTGGAACCGACCTTCCCCACGGGTCCTGGGGGTGGGCAGTGTCCCCAGGGGTCCCCCAGCAGCCGCACCGCGGCGGTGACAGGCTGCCAGCAGCCAGCCAGCCCTACCTCCGCAGTGGGTGAGCCCGTAGAGCGTGTAGCCCTTGTGGCAGAGGCACTGGAAGCTGCCGGGGGTGTTGATGCACAGGTGGTCGCAGGTCCGGTCGAAGGAGCACTCGTCGATGTCTGGAGGAAGGGCAAGGGGAGGAGGTGAGAGCTGGCACGGCAGAGGGGCTGTCCGGGGCACAGGACTGTCCCCTTCCTGCTCCAGCAGGCTGAGGGCTGTGCTGGGATGCTGTGGAACCCTGCACTGGAATCCTCCAAGGGTCCAGAACCAGATTGCTCTGGGCATTCAGTACCATTCAGTACAATTCTGGGCATTCAGGACCATTCAGTACAATTCTGGGCATTCAGGATGCTCCAGAGCCCTGTGCTCCCTTCCCCAAGCTCCCTGTCACCCACTGCACAAGCACCCCCCTGCCACAAGCTCCTGCAGCCCCTCTGCACCCCAAACGGGCCAAACAGGGCCAGCACCCTGTCCCTAGCACGGGAGGGATGCAAGAGCCCCAGGCTGCTGCCCAGCCAGGGCAGGGAGGGATCGGGAGGATGCCAGGAAGGGATCAGGAACGCTGTGCGGGCAGGTCCTGCCCCAGGGACGGTGCCAGCAATGTCTGCTCGGCCCCGTGGGCACCTCGCCGGGGCAGGGAGGCCTCGGTTGGGAGGTGAACCCAGCCTGGTGGGCCGGAGCATCATTTCATTGGCTTCATTAAGTTAATTGCTGCACTCACGTCAAACTCCCGGAGCACAGAACCTGGACGGAGATGAAAGCAGTGGCAGCCCCGGAGCCTGCCAGCCCCCTCCTTCCCCGGCCCTGTGTTTTCAGGAGGCAACACTCAGGCTCATGCACACCTGCGTGCTGACCTCGGCCGTGGGCTGCGGGGGCAGCAGTGACCTGCTGGGCTTATGGGAGATGTGTAAAAGATGTTGGGATAGGGAGAAAAAGGTGGAAGTGCCTGTGGAGTGAGCAGGAGGAATCTTCTCCCCATTCCTGCCCTCCAAGAACTGGGAACCCTGGCATCTTTCTAATTGCTGGCTTTAACTCTGCAAGAGCCCACAAGTTCCCAGCTCTGAGGCTGAAGGGCTGAGCCCCAAAGCAGAGCCTGAATCCAGCACTAATCCCCTGAAGGATGTATGCAGTGCACAGGAAGGGCCAGAGGAATGAGCAGCTGGGGCAGCACTTCTGCAGCAGCAGCCGTGGGAGTGCAGGCAGGGGCAGGGCAGGGGGCCTGGGCACTCAGTGCCCCTTACCTTGGCAGTTCCTCTCGTTTATGAGCAGCTTGTAGCCTTTCTTGCAGCTGCACTCGAAGCTGCCCACCGTGTTCCTGCAGATGTGGTCACAGCCGCCGTTGTTGAGCCGGCACTCGTCAATGTCTGGTGGGGACAAGGGACACCCAAGGGTCACACCCCGGCTGGGATGCACGGCCAGGAGAGCCCAGTGCTCTCCTCTGGATGCTGTCCCCACCATGAGCAGGACAATGGAGCCCTTTGGACTCTGATGGTCAGCAGGGGAACGTGGCTGACGTGGCTTGTTTTGCCACTAATCAAAATTTACTGTTAGGAAACAACCTCTGAAATGGAAGGAGACCAGGAGGAGGCAGCAGCCTGCCCTGTCCCTCCATCCCCCAGTGCTGGGGCAGCAGCTCTGCCTCGCTGGGGCTGAGGTTTCTTTTTATGACTGTGAGGGAGCAAGCTGTAAACCTGCCTGCAGCCATAATAAAACCCCAGACACAGGGGACGTGGCTCTGGGTTATTGCACATTGCTGGAAACTGCAGAACTGGAGAGGGGTGGATGCTCTGATAAAATACCAGGGACAAGGGGCTCTGGAAGCAGTCAACAGGTAGACAGGCAGCCAGAAGAGGGATAGGCTTTCCTTTCAGCAGGGGTCAAGTTCTAAGAGCTGCCAAAAGACACAATGCAGGCACTGGCCAGCCCTGAGGGGGGCAAGTTTGGGGTGCAGGGAAAGCAGCCTGGACTGCCCTCCTGGCAGGGACAGGTGGGGGGCATGCTGGTGGGATGTGCAGCATCTTGGGGTGTTCTCCCCCATGTGGGACCTGGTGCTTGGACCTGGCTGGGCAGTGTCCCAAGAGGGACCTGTGCATCTCACACTCCCAGAGCAGGTGTGCATTCCCTGCACATCCAGCCCTTCCTGGGGGCAGCTCAGGCAGTGGGGAGGAGTGAGATGGGACAGGACCCCCCTAGCCCCAAAAGGGCTATGCCACTGCCTCAAACTTGACCTGACCCCCTTTTCCTCCTCCCCACAGGCTTCCCAGGGGCACGGGGCCAAGCATGGTGCCTGCAGCAAGGCATCCCAGTCCCTGTGCAGGGGGGTGATTCCTGTCCCCACCACATGGATGCAAACACCGAGCCAGTGAGCACCGGGGGCAATGTCCAGCTGAGCTAAACCTGAGCCTTTTCTGAGGGCACTGAGGACACAAAGGGGGCCTGAGGCACCCAGGGGTGAGCAGTGAGCCCCCAGCCCCACTCACACCCACCTACCTTTGCACGTCTTCCTGTCGGGCTGGAGCATGAAGCCCATGGGGCAGCTGCAGTGGACGCCGGTGGCCGCGTCGTGACACTTGCTGTCACAGCCCCCGTTGTTCACAGCACACGTCTCTGCATGGCAAGGAAGAGAAAGGCTGGGGTGAGGGACTGCTGTTCAAAAAGCTGGGGGAGCCACGCCACCTAGATGTCCCCCATGCCACAGCCTGGGAGTGGCAGTGGGTACAAACCTCCCTGCAGAGCCCATGGAAACCTCCCTTGGCTCTCACAGCGCAGCAACGAGGCCACAGAGCCATGAAATGATGAACACATGGGGGCTGCTGTGCCCCAAAACAGGGCCTCGTGGAGGCCACTTCGGCAGCTCCAGAGAGGGGGAATTCCATTTCCCAGGGACAAAGTCAAAGCACTTGTGCAAAAGCAGCCAGACACAGGTCCTGCCAGGCTGCAGCTCCCAGGGATGTGAGTGCACAGCCCCAGTCCCCTGGTGGGGTGGCAGGGGGGGTCCTGTCCCCCTCGCTGTCACCAAGCCACCGAGCCACAAAGCCACGGGTGACCCTGTGCTGTCAGTCCTTGACTGTCACCCACTGCTCAGGCACGGTGGCTGGTCCAGTGTCTCAGGCTAATTTGGGAGACACATCATATAATTAAAACACACACTCAGAGGCAGGCAGCATCAGTGGAAAAAAAACCCAATTGAAAAAAAAAAAAGAGCTAATTATTTCAGTATTATCAAAGTCAGCTGTTGCTGGTAGGACTAGAAGGGACACTAATTTAAATGAAACATTTTCAGCTTGACAGCTTCCCTGTGAGATCAATCCTCAATTTCAACCCTAACCACCAGAACAATGGTTTGAAGTGCATTAAGTTGTTCACAAAGGATAATAAAATATTCCTTTCAGAAGGCTGGTTGCTTGGATAAATGAGGCATTTGGGCTTCAAGGAACCCAAGATGAAAATGCCTTGAAGAAATTCCTTGGAAAGAGCAAATCCCAGGTTCTCCTGCTCTTTGCAAGCGCCGCATGGGGCAGGAATGACTGAACCATCCAACCATTCGCCGCGGGGCCCGGGAGCTGGGATCGCTCTGTGCTCCTCTTGCCACTGCTATTTTTATGATGTCCCATAATAAGAGAACAAAAGGGACCATTTTATGAAATTAATCGCCAGCACAATTACAAAACCTAACGGCAGGGGAAGGATTTCTGCAGATATTATTCCTCCAGCCAGGTCCTCGCGCTTCTGGCCCAGCCGTGCCAGGGACACGGGGCGGGTGACACCGCCCCGGGGAAGGGAAACTTTCTGAAAGGCCAGTGAGTCATTTGTCTAACGCCAGCCTTTGTTCCAGCAGCTGATGCAGAAGCAGCCCGGGGAGGATTGATTTAACAGGGTCACCGCTGAGATGAGACGATTGGTTTGGCTCAGGTGCTGCTGCCAGCGGGATGGAGCTGGAGAAGCAGCTGCAGGAGCTCTCCAGAGAACGTGGTGCCCTGGGCATACTGTCACCGTGCTCACAGCCTCCTCCAGCACTGTGGCACCCCACCTGGCTGCTTTGCACCTTTGGGAATTTCACCTGAGATTAAAGCCAGTCCCACCCTGTGGCACTGCAGCTGACCAGGGTGGGCATTGGGAATGAGCTCAGCACGGCCAGAGCACCACTGCAAACCCCTCTGTGAAGGGGGGGACACTGTTCTGGGTCTGCAGAAAGCTTGGAGGAGGCTGCTGGGGTACCTGTGAGGCAGTGGAGGTTGGTGGCACGGGGCTGGGCCCCGGAATTGCCCTGGGGAGCAGCAATTGTTCGGCGGAGCTGGCAGCCCAGGGCTGCTCCCAGCCTGGCGTGACTCACCAGCCACACAGGGCTTTGGTGAGGCCTCCATCGCTCAGGCAGGGAGAGGACAAAGCTTCACACACAAACACACACACTCAGACTCTTCTCCAGCCTCCTCCATCCCAGTGTCACTGCCTGACTGCTGTGCCATGGCACTCCTCGCCCTGCTCAGCACCCTCAGTGCTGGTGACACTCTGGCCTCACCTCCACCTTCGGAGAAGTGACAATCTCAGAAGGATGAGAGCCCATGAGCCAGAGGGGATAACAGCTGGGCTGGCTGGAGTGTGGTGATGGCACGGATCTGGGTTTCCCCCTTCTCCCACCCCTGTGTGAAAGGCTCTTCAGAGCCCCCCAAAAGCTGCAGTCTGTGCTCCCTGTGCTGGTGAGCTGAGCTCCCACAGCTCCTGGGTGTGCCAGGAGTTTTCCTGCACCCAGCACATCCAGGAACAAGATTCCAAGATTCCCCACCATGAACAAGTTGCTGCACCTTCTGCCTCAGTTTCCTTGGTGGCAGAGCAGAGGCATCACCTTACCTTTGTGAAGGGCTTAGAGACCCCAAGGGGATGCAAATAAATCCCTGGGGAGGTGCCCAGCCCTGTAAAGGGCCATTGCTGCAGCTCTGGGCTGAGAGCCACTGTGTGTGGCGAGGCCAAACCCTGGGACACCCTGAAGGTCCCGGAGGGGACCATCCTTGAGTGGGTGGGCTCTAGGAAGGGATAACTGGGAATGCACAGCGCAGAGATGGGCACAAGCATCCCCCTCCCCACCACGCAGCTGCTGGCAGCCCACTGTGAGCTCCTCCTGGGTGTGGGGGCAACCACTGCCACAGCCACTGGAAAGCAGATTGTCACCCCTGGCACCGGGCTGGATCCACCAAAGCAGCGTGAGAGCCCCGTCTCATGCAAGCACAGCAGGGGGAGGGTTCCCTGCTGCCCCCCAGCCCAGCTCCAGGCTGGTTTGGTGGGGTTTGGAAGCAGCAGCGGGGCAGGGTTAGTGAGACATGCGGTTAGAGCAGCAGCTCAGCCCCCGAGCCCCGCTATGATCTCCAGAGGAGAGACCATCTACGGTTAGACCCCTTCGCAGAGATAGAGAGAACAAAAATATTTACCATTAGAAAACGTCTCAAGGATAACGTGTTGCTGGAAGTGTCTCTCCCCTGTTTAACATTATAAAAAAGTGATTTAGAAACAGTGTCCAGCAGGGAACTTGGTTGGTGTCACACATCAATGAGTTCAACTCTGCTGCATTTCCAGCCTGGTGGAAACTGTCCCTTTGGGCTTTTTTCTCTCCCACCTCCCAAGCATTCCACTGAGTCCCTCAGCCTCTCCAAACCCCCTCCAGCTGTGCTGGGCTGGTTGGAGCCCCATGCGAGCGGGAGAAGCGCGTTATGAGGAGCGTTAGTGCAGCCTGTTAGTCTGGGGAGCCGGGTCCTCGCCTGGCTGCGGACAGAACCAGCCCGTGCCAGGGCAGGTGGCGATCCCTGAGCACAGCCACGCAGCCACGGGCTTTGGGAAGGCAACACATCCCGCCTGTGGCACTCACACCCCTCGGATTTAGCAGCCAAGCCAGCAGCGAGCCCAAATCCTGGGTGTGTTTGGGCTGCTCAGCCTCAGCCGTGGGTCAGTGCAGGTCCAGAGCTCCCAGCACTGCCAGCCCCACAGGGCTGGGGAGCGTCGGCGGTGCCGCCGCAAAGCGCCTAGGCTGGGTCAGGAAATCAGCCGTAAAACTTGAGCTGGGTTTAGTTTCCTTCTCCATCTAACTGTATTTCTTCCCTGTCCACCCCCTCCTGCTCCACCAGGGCTCGCCACAAGTAGGGGGTCAGCAATAGCCTTGCTGCACCCCAAATGTAGGTGGGAGGGAGCTGCAATGATGCCCTGGCTAATAAATCTTCCTGGAAAGCCAAAATCTGCATCAACTGTGACAGCTGTTTTTGCATCTCCCCGCGGGCACTGCACCCTTGGCTGCTGGAGGGCTGTTTTATGTGCTTTTTTTTAATACTGTTTTTTTTTTTTAAAGGCTGCTTTTGGAGCATAAATATAAATATATAAGGTCATTGGCTTCCCCTCCCAGCTCCCCCCCTCCCCCTCGTGCCTGCAGACATGTTGGGAGCCATTAGTGATGGCCCCTGTGCTTAGAGGCATGTTCCTCATTATCTGCATTTTTAAAAGCAGCAATAAAAAGCAGAAAAATGAAAAACACCGGCCGTGGCCTAATGAAACTGTCACTCAGAGGGGCTGATCGTGCTTCCTGCCGCGTGGTGTGATCTGAAGGGAACCTGGACCAGGGGCCTGTCCCGGCAGCCCATCAAACACACCGCGTTCAATTTCAAAGCCCATGGCCCGGGGAACGACTTTGCGTTTCCCCTCACTGGAAACTTTATTCCCCTTGAAATGATGAAATATTTTGGAGGAAATGGGGAAGGGGCGGTGAAGGGGGCAGTGTGGATGGGGGGAGGGCTGTTTGCTGTGCCCGAGCCATAAAACAGGAAAGGCTGGTTATAAATATCCGAGCAGGTACCTCGGTGTAAATCTGCTGGCTGGGCATCCCCACGGGGCAGCTGCTGGCTCCAGAGGCTGAAGCACAACCCCTTGGTGTTCCCACGGTGGGGCTGGGGAATCCCCCAGGGAGTGCAGGAGCTGGGCAGGCCCCTTCCTGTGAGAAGGGATTGCAGAGCCTAAAGGCATGAGACAGGCGTGGTGTGGTGGTGGGCTTTGGTCTGGTGCTGCTCCTAAAATCCTCTAGTGCAGTGTTTGATTTCCCCTGGAAAGGCGGACAAGGGGAGAGCTCACAGGGGTGTGCTGCCTCTGGTGGGAGATGCCTCCCCAGCAAGCACAATGCAGGGCATGGGGACAAAGAGGGAGACTTTGGCCAAGGACAAGAGGATGAGTGGTTTTGGAAACCCCCAAATCCCACCCTCACACGTGTGGTACGCAGGGTCTGAGTGCAGAGACCACCCTCCCAGCAAACAGACTGCTCTGAAGCTTCCCCCAGATCATGAGATGCTTTGGAGAGCTGCTGCACCCCCACACCCAGCAGGTCAGGGGCATCCTTGGTCCCAAACCTGCCCAAGTCAGACGCCGCACGCAGGGCCCCTCATCCAGGAGGAACCCACCAGCTGACACCCCCGCGGTCCTGAGCTCCCTGCTGGAGGAGAGCTCCCCACCCAGGAACAGCGACAACCCCCTGGGAGTGTCCTCAGAGCGGGGACAGGACGCAATGGCTGCGGGAACAAACAGGAGAACGGCGGGGACCAGGGGCTGGGAGCGCCTGCCAGTAGCCAGGAGGGATTGGGATCCACCCTGGGAGCAGGCTGGGGGACAGCAGTGACATTAAAGCAGCAGTGAGCTGATGAGAGGAGGGCTTTGCTGGGGGCTCAGCCCCAAACACCCCTCGAGCTGGCAGGGAGCACCAGGGGCTCAGGGGGATCCTCTGCCCGGAGGACGGAGCCGTCTGTGGAAAGCACGAAGGGTTTTCTGTTCAGGCACAGCAGGGACACGGGCAGCCAAAACCTCTCTTGCTTCCAGTTCCTTTTTCTTTTTCATTTTGCAGTAAGAACTCAAATGTCTCAAGCAATTGTGGACTTAATCACTCCCCAAATATAACATTTTTTAAATCAAAGCAGCTGTTAAACAGCACAAGCATATGAAACCAGTAAAACTTCTATCTCTGCTTGATGTTTTACAATTTGAAAACACACACAGGAAAAGGACAATTCTGGGGGTGGTTGAGTTGTCAGGTTGTTGGGGTTTTGGTTTTGGTTTTTTTTTTTTTTTGCAAGACAATTGTTCTTGAGCCAAGGCCCCACAATACCAAGTTGGAACAGATTGCTGTGGGCAAACCTGCCCCCTCCACATCCCTCCTCAAAAGCTGCCAGCGACAGCAACAATTCCCAGCATGAGGACATCCTCACAGCTCTCTCTTCAGCAGCACAGAAGCAGGCAGGGACCCCTGCTCACACCCCAGCACATCAACCTGTCCCCAGGTGTCCCCTCAAGCACCACCAAGATCACTTGTGCTTCCTGTGGCTGTGCAGACACATCCCTGCACCCTCAGGTTCTGCAGCATCCCTCACACACGTGCTGAGCTTCCCCGGTCTCAGCAAAAGGAAATCGCCCAAGGCTTGGGCAAAACCTTCACCAGGCCAAGGACAAGTCAGCCAGGGAGGAAGAGGAGCCATCCCACACCCAGCCCCTGTGAGGGCGATGGCCTGACCCACCTATGCACGTGACCCCGTCCGAGTGCAGCAGGAATTTGACGTGGCAGCCGCACTTGGGCCCCTGGTCGGTGTCGTCGCAGGTGTGCTGGCAGCCCCCGTTCCCGTAGTTGCAGGTCACTGTGGGAGCAAAGCACCAGTGTCACCGTGGCCCCAGCTCCTCTTCCCTGCCCACCATCCATGTGTAGCACACAAAGCTGCCTGGAAACACCTCATCTGTACCCTCAGAGGCTTCCCTCCCTCCTTCCCTTCCTTCCTCCTTCCCTCACAGATAATTCCTAAAGCCCTTCACTTTTCCTGTGGGATCTTAGCACATGCAGGCTGCTATGTGGTTTCTCATGTCTTCCCTCTGCATATCTGCTAAATGCCACCAGTGGAGTCCAAGCAAAAGGGACTGGTGGTCTGCTTGACCCTGACCCTGAATCCAGTGCTGCAGGGGAGGGGTGAAGCTTTCCTGAGCTTTGGAATGACACAGGATCTTTTGGGAATCCCTGCCAGCCCTCCCCAGAGGGCAAGGTGTGCTATTCATTTAGTTTAGGATTAAACCTGCATTTCATCAGCGATTTTACACATTTACTGCACACAGCAAATGAGAAACAAAATAAAAATAATTGCATAAACACACACATATCTATTTAATAACCCTGGCACTGCCAGTGGGATGCTGGCAGGAGATCAGAGAGCTGAGAGCACCACAACCCCCAGGGAGAGGATTCCTGCGCTCCTCACATGCCAATTGCATTCTCCTCGTTCACCTCCCCTTTGGAAAGTGAAACACTGGGACAAGAACAGGGGAAGCTGAGCCTCTGGGACCCCCTTGAACTGCCATTTCAGCCTGGTCATGTAAGGACACAACATCCCAGAGCAAAGGGGGCTGCCAGAAGCATCAGGGCAACAGAGCTGAGCATGCTGAGCTTCAGGCTCGATGAACCAACTGCTACCACGGGGTCAGGGCTTTGCTGCAGGGGCAGGAGGTGCCTGTGCCATGGGGACAGGGTTAGGGGGTCCCTGGCAGGTGGTATCCCCAGCCCTGCAGTGCTCCTTACGTTTGCAGTCCCGCTGGTTCTTGGTGAGCTCAAAGCCGGGGCGGCACTCGCAGGCGATGCCCCCTTTGGGGGTCTCCCGGCAGATGTGGGCACAGCCATGGTTCTTGTTCATGCAGTTCATGCCTTCTAAAGGAGAAAAGGAAGCAAAGAAATGCTCCAAAAGCTGCTGGCACTGGTCAGCAGTGGCAGAGGGACATCTGAGGCGGGATGGGATGGGGAGTTGATGGCAGTGGGGAGAAACCTTGTCAATGAGGATCTTGTGGGGACAGGATAACCCTGGCCAGCTCCTGGCACAGAGCTGCTTGGGAAGGTGGACAAAATCACCTGGGAGCCTTCAGCCTTTGATTCCCTCCCACCTTGGGTGAGACCCTGCTCCCACATCTCTCGGTGGCTTTAAACCCCACTGAGCTCAAGACCCAGCACCTGCATCCCTGTCCCCAGCAGGAACCACCCACTGTGGCACCAGCAGGAAGGAGCAGCCAGCTCATCCCTCCTGGACACGCAAGGGATGGGGTCACAGGAGATGCCACTGCAGCTGCTCAGCTGTCCTGGGCAGGGTGACATTCCTGGGGAGCTGGAGTGACCAACACAGCTGGGAAGGGGGAAGGAGGAAAGCAAAAACACTCAGCTGGCTTTGCCAAGCAGCAGAGATAAAAATCAGCAGAGACAAAAAAAATCTCTCATTTCCTCCTATTTTGGCTAAGAGATTGCTCCAGACGGCAACAATTTAGAGTTGATTCCGAGATGAAGGGCTCGGTGCTGTGCAAGACCTGGCAGGGAAGATGTGTCTCAAGGTGGTGTGAGGACCTCCAGGTCCTTCCATTTATCAATAAATTCCTCTGGGCATAGGATTAATGTCCCTGGCTCAGTATTGCTGTGCCTGGACAAGGGACATGTGGGGGTTATGCTGCAGGACATTTATCACCTCTCCCAACATGCCTGCCATAGATTCACTTTCAAACCTGCCACACCAAGAACCCAGCAGCAGCAGCTAAACCCAGGCAGGAGAGGCCAGAGGTGACAGACCTGCCTGATAAACACAGGGATGGAGGGTGGCCCAGGGCGTGGAAGTGCTGAGCACTGACCTTCAGGGCGCTGGATGCAGGTGTGCTGGTTGTCACTGAGGAAGAAGCCCTCCCGGCAGAAGCACTCGTAGCTGCCCATCATGTTGACACAGGTCTGCTGGCAGCCACCGTTGCCCTCTGAGCACTCGTCCAGGTCTGCAGAGGGAAGGTGGCAGGGGGTGAGCACAGCTGTTTGGCACACCAAGGGGATGGGGACTGGCTGGCACAGACCTGCTTCCCCCCAGCTGGAAGGAAGGGGAATGCTTGACAGGGTGGGGGATGAAGGCAAAGCCCAGCAGGAGTGGGTGCAGGGATCATACAGCCTCCCTGACTGATGGCCTCATTTTACAGAAGGGAACAGCAGACCACAGAGAAAGGGCTTTTCCTTGTCCCAGAAAACCCAAAGCACCCAGGATGCTCATCCGGGATGCTGGCTGCAGCCGGCCCCTGCTCCCAGCCCCTCAGAGCCTGTTGCCAGCTGGGGATGCCTGCACTTCATTAGGAGGAGCTGGGAAACCTTAGCCCAGAGCAGGGATAATTACTTGTAAGGAGACTCACATCCCCTGCTCTGCTGCTCGGCTGCCCTCACACCTGTTTTGGTTTAACAAGCCAAGGCTGCAAGGGGCTGAGACGTGGCCCCGTGACAGCAGCAGTGCCCTCGCCCCAGGCTGCTCCTGCTCCAGCCCTGCAAAACCTGCATTTAATGAAGACTAACTGCCCATTGCTCTCTCTAGAGCTTTTTTGGGGACAGTGGTCTAAGCTGAACTCACCAGTGCCCTGAGGTGCCAGAGCAACCAGGATGCCGGGCTCGGGCAGAGACAAATCTGTGCCGTGGCCGCCCCTTGCCCCCTGTGCCCGCGGTGCCGGGGCTGGGTGATGGTGTCAGGCTGGGAAGCGAGGGGCCCCATGCCAAAGAAAACGTCCTGTGAACTCGAGCGTTGCAGAGCCACGGCTGAGGGGAAAACTGAGCCCCGGCAGCATCACCGGGAACGCCAGGAGAGAGGCTGAGTGACAGCACGGCCAGGGGCTCCCGAACAGCCCCCTCCCCAAACAGCACAGCACACACCCACATCCCTTGCTTTTGGGTAAAATGGATGGACAGGTGGATGGATGCCCAAGCAGTGTGGGTGCCTCGCACTGTGCCCCAGCCCCTGGCAAGGCTGAGGGTTCACTAAGAATTATCAAGGCAGGGCTGCAGCTCTAGTTGGAAGTGGCCAGGCAGCAGAGCCCAGGAGCACCCCACAAACTTGTTGTCTTGGAAAGGAGGTGTTGAAAACACCCTCTTACCCACAGGGCAGCGAGGCTGACACCTGGGCTGCAGCCAGGCATAAAGGGACATTCTCTGCAGTGGCAGGAAGATCATGGCTTCCTCCAATGCTCATCCCAGCCAAGCTATGTCCTGCAGATGCCAATAACCCTCCTCAAATCCCCCTGCTTAGAACAAGGGCTTAATGTTTTGCAACTTCTCCTTCCAGCTCTGCTCAAAAATGAGGAGGCAGCCATTCAAACCCGACGGCTGAAATGAGACTCCGCTTCTCTAATACCTGTTTTATTAAAGGCAACAGAGATGGGCAGAAGCCAGCAGGGCCTGTGTCAGGACAGGGGCTTGAATTCCTGTCCTGGTTCAAAAGGTCGCCCAGGATGGGCAATGGAGGGGCCGGTGGACTCTGGTGGGCACATACCCTGACCCTTCTGCAGCTCAGCTCCTGCCCATGGCACTGGCAAAGCCTGGGCACAACACACTGTTCTACTTCTCTTTCTTTTGACTCAAAGGGGATGCAGGCAGGTTGGGTCGAGATCAGAGATAAGATGCTGGGATGAGCTAAGGAAGGGCTCAAGGTAGGAGCCAGCATGCTCCCCCCAGATCCCTGCCTGGCCGGCTGCTCCCCAGCCATCTCCCTCCCCTCCCACCCAACTCTGTAAACACATGACGTCCAGCTTTCCTTTCTTCTCCTCGGGCTCATCCTCCCCCGGGAGAGGAAGGCAGAGCCAGCCGCCCGCCCGCCCGCGCCTCCTCCCAGCTGTGTAAATCTCCCCCCTCCCCGAGGAGGCTGCAAAGATCCCGGTGATGGTGGTTAATGCAAAGCGTATGTGTCCATAATCCCTTCCCCCCCCTCCTCCTCCTCCCAGTGATGACCTCATTAATGACCCCTCTGCAGACACTAATTGGAAAATAGCATGAGCTGCAGGCAGAGGGGAGGCGGCGGCCCCGTGCCCCGGAGCTCCCACCGCGGATGCCGCGGGAGGAAGCGGGTGACGGGCGCGGGCAGCTCGATGGGCCCCGGGGCTCTGACGGGAGCTTTGGCTCCGCCGCGGCCGGATGGAGCTCGGGGCGGTGGGAAGTAGCAGGGAGGATGCACGGCCGCTCCGTAGGCAGATGCCGGGTTTGTCTTGGCCCGGGGATTATTTATCCAGTCCCTTCGCTGGTTCCCATCCCCACCACCATATTTGCTATTAACTCATCTATTTTGGCAGGTGCAGGGCTGACCTCAAGCACGAGCGGAGCGAGCGGCAGGGCCCGGCTGAGCTGGTTCTGCCCTCGGCAGCGGCACGGAGCTGCTGGCCTGGCTCTTGCCGTGGCAGGGCACGGCTGTGGAGAGCCTGTTCCTCACCCCACAACTCCAGTTTTGCCTCATCTCAACCCACAGAGCAAGTTTTCCTCCCAGCACGGAGCATCCTCCCTTGGCATCACTGCGATGTAACGGGGAGCAACCCTGTCCCCAGCGAGCCACTGCAGCACAGGACATGCCTGAGTGCCACCACGATTCCACGGCTCTACAGCAGATCTGGGGGCGTTGTGTCCTGGGAAGTGCCCAACAAGGAAAGCCAGCAGGTGGGTGCTAAGGTGCTGGAGCAGCTGAGGAGCTGCAGGGGCTGGCATGCCTCACCTAGGCAGTTGTGGCCGTCGTGTGCCAGGCGGAAGCCGTCGTAGCAGGTGCAGCGGTAGTTGCCGGGGATGTTGACGCACTCGTGCACGCAGCCCGCGTTGTCCTCCCGCTCACACTCGTCAACGTCTGCGGAGGAGAAGGGCAGGAGAGCTGCAGGGCTGCCCTAGGTGCTGCCCACCACGGGTGCTGCTCCCCAGCTCCAGCATCTTTGCCATCTAGGTAATGTGCCCTGGCGTCTTCTGCTCCCTCGGCCGATACCAGCAGCAGGTCCTCAGCTCCATTATCACCTGCAGCATCCCTCCAGAGTCTACAAAACCATCCCCACTCTCCCCAGTCTGGATGCTGGAGCCCCAGCTAGCCCAGTGTCTCACAGCTTTCGCTTGGGAACCTCCTGGGATTTCCCAGGGTGCTGGCAGAGCAGCCCCGTCTCCATGGCAAAGCCCTGCAGTGCCTGGAGCACTTTAATCCCTCTGCTATTTGTACTCGGCCCATCCTGACCCTGAACCTGCTTCCAGCTGGGAATTTTTCCCCTGCCCCAATCCTGCTTTTCTGCTGCTGCTGCCCCAAGGAGCCCATTTTCTTTCCATTCTCTACTCAGTTGTTTCTATATATAGATACATGCCTACACCTATATCAATATCTAGATTTACACCTATATCTACATCTAAATTGATATCTACACCATCTATATCTCTGTTTCTATGTCTTATTTTTAAGTTTGTGTTTTATCTGCTAACACACTTCTGCAGCCTCAGGGTCAGAAATCCTGCAGGAAAATAAGCCCAGCTTTGTTTAAAACAAGCTCCATGTGACCCAACCATGTCAGGACAATGGCTGCCAGCATCACCAGCAAGGACAGTCAGAGACCTCTCTGTCCCCATGCACTGTCAACAGGCCAGGAATTTGGGGCAGAAAAGGGGAATAAAAGGTTTACAGTGGGCCAGGGTGAACAAGTGGCTGTTTGGCATGGGCCAGTGCTGACGAGCCACTGCTGGCCTCTGAGCTGCTGGGGCTGTCACCCAGCAGGACTCTGGCTGTGCCACTGGCGTGTCCCTACCTTTGCAGTGCTTCCCATCCCCGGTGTAGCCAGACTTGCAGATGCACTTGTAGGACTTGGGGGTGTTCTGGCAGATGGCATCGATGTGGCAGTTGTCGGTGCCCTCCACGCACTCGTCAACATCTGCAAGAGGACAGGTGAGGGAGCAAAGGGGAGAGCGTAGGACCTCCACCCGTGTCCCCACAGGAGCCACCACCCCAGGTGATGGATCCCAGCAGCCTCTGGCTCCTAAACCAGCCCTGATGATGGGCTCTGGACATGATGAATCACTGGGTCCACTCCCAAACAGCACAACCTGTGTCCCCTCTTGGACATGTCACCCTGAGACTCCCTGGCCCTTTCATGTGTCTGATGATAGGAAATGCTGCTCCAGCACTCCTAGTCCAGGCTGGAGCCAGCCCAGACAGAGGTAAAAGTCTCTGTCTCCAATTAGCTGTTTCCTGAGCCGACCAGGCACCCAAATAATCATCATCACTTTCTATTCTTAGGTGCCAAGGAATGTACATGAATTAGCAGGGACCACACTAAATAAACCTGGGAGCCAGGAGTGAGAAACAGGAGGGAGAACTGCAAAAAACATCAAGGCTTCCACGGGGATATGTACAAAATTTGCATCGTCCCCATCCCCCTTTGCCCCTCAACCCTGTTCTCTGGGGTGCAGTGCTGTGGTACCCAGGACATCACATGCAGAGCTCCACATGCTGGCAACGGCCTCAAGCAGCAATGCCCAAGGGTTTGCTGTGACAGGAGGCTGTGGGAATGGAGGTTTTAATGGTATTTGGGAAATGGAGAAGCCTCAAGCACGTGGAGTGGAGGTTTGTGAGCAAAAGGCTGTTCAGCTGGCTCTCACTGCCTTCCCTGCTCTGGCAGTCAGGGAGATGTGGCGTGTCCTGAAGCGGGCATCCCCTCCGTGACTGCAGTGCCCAGAGATCAGGCTGCTGAGGGGCAGGTGGGGCTGAGCATCACCCACAGCCCCCAGGTATGGGCAGGGCTCCCAGAGCAGCCTGGGCTCCATCTCCACGTGGGGAGCATCAGCCCTGCTCCTGGAGGGATTTGCCTCCACCTCCTCCCACGGGGATAGGAAGCTTCTCACTGGTGAAGTGTGACCTGAGAGTCCCTCCAGCTTCCCTGTACCCCCTCAGGAGGAGCGTGAGGCTTCAAAGCTCTCATCTCCCTTTAAAATACTGCTCATCAGCAGCCCCAAGAACAGAAGTGCTCCAGGAGCTCCCCAGGGACCCAAAACATCCCTGCAGCCCCGCGGGACAGGGGCCACGGCCGCGGGAACCCCAGCCCTGTGGCGGCCACCCCGGCGGCTCTGCCGGGAGATGTGAGTCACCCGGGAGGAGGAGGAGGAGGAGGAGAGCTTTGTCCCTCCATCAGGGAGGCGGCACGTGCCTGCGCATTGTATAAATATTTACAGCCCGCATTCATATTTGTTATTTGACATTAGCCATGGCCCGCGGCCACCACGGCCTCCCTTGGGCCATTAATCACCGGCTGGAGGCTGACCCACCACGGTGGGGACGTCAGGGACTGCACGGGGACCAGGGCCCTGCTCCTGGCTGGCACCTACAGCAGCCATGGCACCACGGTGCTGTGGCATCAATCCCTGCCTGTGCCAGGGCACCCATGGGCCACTTGTCCCTCTGGGGAGCTGAATGTGGCTGTTCAGCATCCCAGTGACTTCACCCCAAGCTCCTGCATCCCTCACTGCGCTCCCAGAGGGGTGTTGGGAGGTGTTGGCACTGGAGCAGAGGGATGTGGGGGGATGTCAAGTGCTGGCCACAATGGGCATGGGAACTCAGCAGCAGCAAAGCTGATGCTGACCCAAAGTCTACTGAATCTGCAGATCCTGGTCCCCTTCAAGTGTTCCCCCAAAGTTATAAATCACCCTGTGATGCTTCAAGTCGTGGTGCCAGGTGACAGTTTCAGGTCTGGCACCCCGGGCACCCACCCTGGCACCCAGGTGGGAACCAAAGAGTACAGACCATGCATCAACCCCCATCTCCTTCCCCTCAAAACGCTCAGAACATGAAGCATCCACCAGGCATAAATCACATCATTGAAACTTTCTCAGCCTTTTGCCAGGAATCTCACTTTTGGGAGAATTTTATTTCCTATTTATTTTTCCTTCTGCACTCTCAAACTCAAGACCACGAACAACATGCATGAGGCACTGAATGCACACTCATACATGTGTAGCATCTTTTTTTTCCTATCTTTTTTCCTTTTTCCCATCCTGTAACTTCAAAAGTTGTCTAACTTTGGAAAGATTACACAGCAGCGAAAGTACAAAAGAAAACATTATCAGTTTTCCACTCTAACTTTTCCAAAGCTAGAGTCATTCTGAAAGGTTACAGGATTCTAAAAAAAAAAAAAAAAAAAAAAAAAGAAAAGAAAAAAAAAGAAAAACCCCAAAAAGTGTGTTTGTGGGAAGAGTGAATAAATACCCTCTTGGGCACTCCAGGAGCCATCCTGGGATTGGCAAAGATCCCAATTTTAGAATGCTGAAATTTTGGCTCCTCCATATCCTTCAGAAATGATGTAGCGAATTAAAGTAAAACACTCTGAAAAACTCAATTTTTAGCATTTTTGTCAATGCAAGCAGCATTTTCCCATGAAAGGGAAGGTTTTCTCTCAGGCCAGCCCATTTTTCCTGCAGAATTTTCTCCATCCAAAAAGCTGCCTGTGACCTCACTGCAGGTGCTCTGAGTTGCTGCCACCATGTGAGAGGGTTCATCTCCAACACAAGTGAAGATTTAAATTTTTTTTTAAAAATAAAAAACCCTTACTGATGCTCCTGCTCCTATCTGCCCTCAGTAGTTCCTCACTGGGTTGTGCCCAGCTTGTCCCCCTACTCCAGGGGTCCTGCTCCATTCAAGGTCCCAAATCCCGGTGGGTTTTTTGGAGAGTTTCCCAGTCCCCCTGCAAACCTGCACCCTCACACCCCCTCCACTTCTCCCTTCCACAAATAATCAAAACCCACTGTTTTTCACCCTAAACCGCCTGAAAGGAGCCCAAACCGGGCGGCGCAGATGGGCACCGGCAATTCTGCACCGGGAATTTGGTTTTCCTGAAGATGTTGGGTCTTGCTGGGGACCACATCTCCCTGGGGCCGACCAGGGCTGCTCGGAGGGCAGCAGCATCCCCGGCTCGGCCACGGCCGGGGGCTGCGGGGAAGGGCAGGAGGTTGCGGCGCTCGCCCCGCGCCTCGGGCCATGTTTTTTATTCCGTTGTGGGTGGGATTTTCCAGCGCTGGCTGTTGGGCCCCGTTCCGCTCCAGCTGCAGCTTTATTCTCCATTTCAAAGGCAGCGGAGGCAGACGGTTTCAACGCCACTGCCATTTCGAGCGTGCCAAAAGCGGGGGGACCGCCACCTCCCCGGGAGCGGCGCGCACCCACCGGGGGCAGAGGGGCTGTGGCACCTCTGTGCCCTGCGGTGTCACACCCGACAGCGAGGAGGGGCATAAAGCAACAGCTCGTATATTTTTAGAGCCTGGATTGAGGCTCTTTTCTCACTTCCTTATGTTGTTTAAAAAAAAAAAAATAAAAGATGGTTTTAGCCCTAGGCTAAAAGTTCTAATAAATATGAGGAGGGGGGGTGAGACAGGACAGCAAAAACTGGCCTGAAAAATCCTAAACAAACAAACCCACTATCCTTTTTCCCCTCTCCTGCAAGTGCTTCAGCTTTTTCTACAAATTAATTTTATTCTTTGTTTTTATATAGGCATATATATTAACAGCCTGTCTGTATGGGGATGTGTGTGTAGCTGTTGGCAGACATGCGGAGTTTCCACTCGGCCTTAATGCCAAATTAAAGCTTTATAACTTCAGTAGCTCCTTTTACCAGGGTATTAATAACCACCTCAGACACTGTGGTGCAGTTTATTAATCATTTGTTCGTCCAGGGAGCTTGCAGGGGTGACTCGTGCTGCACCACAGCAGGACTGGCTCAGGGCATGGCCCTGGGGGGGGATATGGGCCAGGAGAGGGAGGAGGATGCTCTGCAGGGCAGCCTTCCGTGCTAAAGAAGTGTCATCTGCACTCAGGGATCCTGACTCAGGGGCTGGGTGATGTCCTGCTGCCAGGATGGGGGTCCCTGGGCAGGTACCTGTGCTCAGGATGGCTCAGAGGGGATGTGTGCATCTCACCATGCAGTGGAGACCCCTGCACAGCCCCGTGCCCTGCACATCCACCCAGCTTTCCCAAAAGCGGGTGGGACACAGGAGGTGCAGCCCCAGCCCTTGGCCCTGTGCAATGATGGAGTACAGAAGGAGGAGGAGCCACAAGTCACAGCGAGGATCTGAGACCATTCCCAGCCTGGTGACCCTCCTGCCCAATGCCCAGACCCTGCCCTACAACCCTCACCATGGGTTCTGCTTCCCCAAAGTTGTTAATGACCCAGAAAAGGGTTTTTTTTATCCCCCTCACTTATGCTTCCCACTGCCATAAGGGCAGAGCCAGGTTGAGCTGTGCATCCTCTGCAGCAGCCCGGGTCATCCTGATGGATCCCAGCTCCACCACCATTCCCTGGGTAGGAAATGTTCCCTCCACCTCCATCCCACCTCATCGTGCCAACCCTGGTCACTTCAACCCAATTCCATCAAATCCCACAGAGGGTTTGGTGCTCCACACCAGCAGCCTGTTCATCTCCCCATGGAATTGTCATTGCTGTTGTTGTTCCTTTGACTTGTTGGACTGACCCAGCCTTGCCTTAAAAAATGTGTTTGTTTTTTGCTCTGGGAGCAACAATCTCAAGATCTCCAGCGGGGACACGGCCTCTCCAAAACACAGCCAGGCATCCTCCAGTGCTGCCAGACAGAGCAAACTTTATTTGCCATCTCAGCCTTCTCCTAAAGCCTCTCAGGGGACTTAGAATTTTGAAAGTGAATGCTAAGGTCAATCATGCATACTATTTTCCTAAACTGAGTACTCTGGTGTGGCTGTCTGCGAAGGAAAAAAACCTGTATAAAAATAAAAGACAAGAACCCCCAAACTCCTGAGCAGTTTGGAGAGAGCAATACATCGGCACTGGAAGACTCAAGGTGTCTGAATATTTATACTCCAGCTGGCAGTTACAAAAAAACTCTTCTTCCCTCCTTCCTACCCACCCCCTCCCCTTTT